CATGCTTTCAACTATCATTTTTGTTGCTTGAAAGATATTTTCTAATTACGCAGAATTCTTCAGAGTAGAGATAACGTTTATTTTGATTGAAGATATAAATTTAGCCCGAAAAGCTCTAATCTAATTTTTTTGACGACATTTTACAAATGAAAAAGTGTGCTGCCAAATGCCCAGACAACAAAACTCTTTTTTTTTCCGCGCTGAGACGGGGTGGAAAAATTTGCTATTGTGTACAATTAAATCGAATTTTGCTGTGCCAAATGCAAAGTAAAATTTTGGCAGTTGAAAATCCCAACAAACGCCCGTGCGAAGGCTTTATTTGTGTGTTGCTGAAATTGTTAAAATTTATATTTATTTTATAACTTGCAAGTAACGTACGCTTCTTTTGTGCTTTTCCGGCTTTCATTTTCATGTTCCCTCTTTATTACCGCCAAGCAATAATATGTGTATACATGTTTATAATTTGTCAAAATTTTACCTAGCCTCAGGAGCTAGGTAAAATTCTGACGTTGGTTTTCCCCACGAGAAATGTCAAATTTGTACTTTGATCCGTCAAAATTTCCTCTTTTCTATCAATTGACACTGGCACTGTGAGAGAAAAAAGCAGAACGCAAGCGAGATTTTTAAGCATGTGAAAACGGCCGGTAACGGATTTAGCAAAATCATCTCGGTTCGTATCGCTGGATTGTTAAATAAACTTGTACAACCATATATGTAATACATGAACCAATTTGAACAGATCTGACCGGTTGAGAAGCAGCCATTTGTAATAGCAATTGAGAAAAAAAGTGTGTAACGTTCGTAGTTTTGAAATTTGCTATTTCTGTTTTGCTTATTTCTTTAAGTGTATTTTGTCGGTGGTTTATTTCAATGGCGCGTATTCATAGTCCAGCAACTAAGTCGAAACTAACAAAGTTGCAACTTAAATTTAAGTACCAACTTAAAATTTACTTCTATTCATAGTCGCATTTCAGACTTCTACTTAGTAGTTTCGACTTAGTTTACGATATAGCAAAACAAGTGTGAAAATGTATCGATTTTTCTTTACGATATTTTGGAAAAATTACATTTTTATTAAATAATGTCAAGTTTGATCATCCGTTTATGTAATTTTTATTTTCATTGCATGATTATGCAAAAGAATAAGGTATCATTTTCTTGTTAATTGTGTGAAATAGCCAGAACAACCGCAGTGATGTGAAGTCGATGTTTATCGAAAGCTTGCTGTGAAACATACAAATAGTCATATATGTAATACTCCTATACTGGCAGTAAGAGCTAGTACCGTCCGAAAACACTACAGTACAGATATATCAATAAACACGTACGAAAGAAAAGGAACACAAACGTTTATAAATAAACATGTACACAACACATAAACAAAAACGGCACTCAAGTACACAATACATTGATAAAAACAGTACTAGACTGTCTCGCTTTGATTTCGGAATACTTACACATTGAGAAGTTAGCTTACTGCCAATATAGAAGTATTACATATATGCAAATAATAGATATCTAAATGTTATGCACAAATTTACTTTAAAAGAACTAGCGTGAAACTGACTTATTATTTGAAAATTTATCTAAATTATTCCAATTATAAAATTGTGATGTAGCTTTGTTCGAATTGTAATACGCATTTAATTTCATCTTCCGATTAAAATGGATCGATCTTTGTATATTTTAATTAGAGATTATTCAATATTATCAAAATCACCCTCTACCAACTTAATTTTTACATATTTCGTCTGTTTTCCCTTAATTTGATAAAATACTTCTTCCTAGTTACGACTTAGTTGCAGCTGCAGCCGAAACTAAATTTTAAGTTGGTACTTAGCCAGAAAAGTCGAAACTAAGGCGATTATGAATAGCTTTAGTTGTGACTTAGAATAGTTTCGACTTAGTTGAGTACTAAATATGACTATGAATATGCGCCATTAATTTTATAATAAATTAAATTATAGAAATGTCGACCTGACGCCTTTTATGTGAAAAAAAGAGATTAATTAAATTAAATAGCTTTACATGCGTATTTTGGTACGCAGATAATTTGCAGGAATTTTAACTAAAAAGCTTGCAATTCTAATAAAATTTTTTTGATCTTTTTTAATTTTTTCAGAAAGTTTGGAATTTGGATTTACATAGTTTTTGTTAGATAATGAGCTCTACTCTTATAAAAAAATTTAGCGAAAAAGATTTCAAATGAACATTGCGAATATAATAAAAAGATAACTTCAATTTTGAGTGAGTTAATACTATAGTTATTTATTTCTTCTTACTTGAATAGTGAGTAAATCCTTACTCAGTAGAAAATGTATTCCCATTTGAGTTAAACATTCTAAAATAATAAATTGGTAATCATTGTAAAAATTTTCAAATCGGTATTTTAATTTCCAGGTATTTAAAATAAAATTGTAACACTTCATCATAAAGTTTCAGTTTTTTAAGCAAACATCGTCAACAAAGCGGCGTAACCACCCCAGAGTAAAATAATCTGCTTCAAATTTATTTTCAAGTGCTACTGAGGACACGTCAAATTCGCTTGAATGTATTTGTCACATATATTCACAGATACTAACACATGGAAAACCTGCGCATTCGCAAACGATCTCGCTTTGATTGCTGAATCCAAACACATTGCGCAGATAGGTTACTGCCAATATAGAAGTATTAAATATATGTGTACAAAAAACAATTTACAATACTCGCTAATGCAATAAAAATACTTTACAATACTCGTTAAAGCAATTGCAATGCTTTACAAAACTTGCTAACACAATTTATCTCTGTTTTACAACTTAACTTGTAGCTTGCTGATTCGCGACTTATTTGCAACTGACTGTAGTAGCGGCCTTATGTATCTGCGCGCGTACTCATGGCAACTCTAGAACGTTCTGTCGTCTATCACTCATTCTCTGCTTGTTCGCAGCATTCATCCACTTGACGTTTCTCACTTTCGAAAGTTCTACGCCATTCCTCGAACATTTTGCCATTTTCTTGTTGTTCGCGTCGCGTTGCCGCAGTATTCGCCACAGTATGTAATACTTCTATATTGGCAGTAACAGGCTAACCTAATATTCGTGGCATGCGTTTTGGTACGCACGCCGTCGAATTTTTTTTTTTGCGTCACCCGAAATTGGACTGCGTTATTAAATATGAGATATTCAACCCCGTGTTTGTACCAAACAACCAAGATTGATTGGTTGGTTGTTTAATCAATCCCACCAAAAACCTTCAGCTGTTCAGCACAACATGTAAACGAACAAGCAAATGCAGCAACAATTTCAAGGAACAAGCAGCAGTACAGCCAATTGTTTGGCATATTTAAACAAAGTTGATCTGAAACACAACGTAAGCTAATAGGGAATTTACATGATTCAACTTTCACAGGCGATTAGTTGAACCAAAAGTTGAACGAAAGTAGGCAGTAGGGATGCAAGTCAAAAAAATACATCGATGTTTTTTTCGATACGATGCATCGAAATGTTGCATCGATTCATATCGATGTATCGTATAAAAACATCGATGTTTTCGATGCATCGGATTAAAATATCAACAGTTTGTTTCAAACTAAAATATATAACAGAAAATTAAACGATAGGAATTTCAATAAATATTGAAGTATTAACTCACAGTGGAATTTATTTATTGATTTAAATAGTTACAAATCCCAGTTGTTTTTGTCTAAACTTTGTAAAAATAAAATTTTGTGAACACGTTTTCCTTGTAATCTATTGCGCTGTTGATTCAACACTTGAGAAGCCTTCGAAAAAAGTCTTTCGGAAGATACTGAACTGGCTACAATTGTTAAATGTTTATAAGCTATGTGAAACAACTTTGGAAATTGCTGTTTAAAATCCGCCCAAATTTCCAGCGGATTTTCATTTAAACGACCAACTGTTGCTCTTAAGTAGACGGATATCTCATCTGAAACGTTTTCCTCGTTTCTATTAGATTTCCAGTTTTTATGCACTAATTTGTGGTGATCGCTCCAAAGACTGAAATCTTCTGATAATTGGTCCGATTCATCTGAGTCTGATTCGCCATGACTTTCGTCGAGACTAATTTTCATTAAATCTTTAATCTTTTGGATGGCACCTGCGCAAGCTAACGGATCATGAAAATGTATTTTTTTGAAACGTGGGTCCAATAGCGTAGAAATCGCCAATACTGAAACATGTTCACTAGCGCCCATTCGTTTGTTGATTTCTTTTAGAGTGAGTTTTTGTACCTCCAATACAACCGGTTCATCAATCACAAGAGCCTTGAGTTTTGAAACCATGCAATGCACTAATGGAATTACTTTACTGCTTTTGCAGTATTTATCGCCCGATATTTCCTTAGTTGCAGCTTCAATTGGACGTAAAACGTTAAGCAGTGATGAAGCAATGTTAAGTTCCATACCAGTCAGCATTGGAGGTGCTGTCTTGTGACGAATTAGTATTTCACTGGCAATGTTTTTAAGTTCCAAAAATCGTTGAACTATGTAGTGGGTGCTGTTCCACCGTGTGGGCACGTCCTGTATTAATTTCTTTTCAGCGCGTACTGATTTACGCAAATCGTCACTTGCAGCACAGCTCTGCTTAAAAAAAGTTACAATGGTTTTGATTTTTAAGACAACTTTTTGCATTTCGGGAATTTGAACAATATTTTGCGCTACTAAATTGAGCGTGTGAGCAAAACTTGGAATGTGCTTTCTCTTTCCGAATGCTATATCAACGGCTTTTATCATGTTCGCAGCGTTGTCAGTAACAACAGCAGAGACTTTATCTCTATCAAGTCCCCATTCGTTACAGGTGTTGATCAGCATTTCTGCTATATACTCCGATGTATGCCTTTCACTGAGTTGATAAACGCCCAAAGTCACCGAGTGAAACTCGGTTCCCAGACCAAAATGTGCTGTGACACCTAAAAAACTACGCATTTGTATATCCGTCCAAATATCACTAGTTAAGGTGAAATTCTCAACATTACGTAGCTTTGATTTTAATCTATTAGATAAAATATCGTATTTTTCATCAATCCACCCTGATATGGTAATTCTGCTCGGAATTTTGTAATGGGGAGCAACAACTTTTAACAAATTTTTGATTCCTTCATTTTCTACCACTGAAAATGGCTGGTTGTCCTTGCAAATCATAAATAAAATTGCATGGTTTATTTTTCGTGATTTGTCACCAGCAGAAGTATATGAATAAATTTCAGCAAAACTATTTTTTATAGACTTTTGAGTTTTAAGGCGTTTCTCGGGCAATTCTCCATCACTGACAATTTCATATGTCGAATCAGCTGGTGTTGCATTTGATGTAGATGGCTCAGCATTTGTGGTGTTTGGGCTTTCAACCACTTCGACCACATCGGATATTTTTCTGGCATCGATTGTGGTTTTTAGTTCTAAAAAAATTGCTTTGTGGACATTTTTTATGTGTCCCATTAGATTGGTGGTATTTCCAGCCGTGCGCATAATTTTATGACACAGTTGGCACTTCGCTGTTTTGTCGTCCAATTTGCAAAAATACTTCCAAACTTTACTCTTCTTATTTGGCGCCATAACGGAATTCTTGAATACATATGAATGCGCATTTATAGCTTTGGCTTTATACATATGCACATATACCTACACTTCAACGTTAGTGTGAACGTGAACTTTTCATTTTTACCCATATCTTCGTTATTATTTCACTTTTAATAATAGAATTATAATTTTACGATTATAGCAATCAAAGAAATGTTAGAATATACATAGAACATATGTATGTACATATTTTACAAGCTAACACTCAGCTGTGTGTACGCAATGCTCTCGTATTTATTATGTATATTATTAAATTACTTTTAATTATATATTTCTTTAAGATGTTTCATTACTCTATGTTTTGAAATATTAACTATAGCAGAAAGTGAAACAATAAAGAAGATATGGGTCAAAATTAAAAGTTCGCGCTCACGTTTACATTGAAGCTGATTTGTATGCACATACATTTGTACATACATACATATAACACGTATATTTCGTGTAATAAACATATAATTAACTTACACATTTAACTTTTACTACAATCTTTCACTATACACTTACTCGCACTTCTCGCTCGTTGTTCATTTTATTCATTAAAACTTAGAAATGTCTCAAAT